ACCTAGAAATGTTGAGTGTACTTATAACTGAAACGGAATACTTTTACTCTTAACTCAATTAAGAGAAATCAGAAGGAAAAAAACATATGTTACTTTTTGGATTTTCATTTAGATTTTCCATTTAGTCAAGTTCTGGCACATTGTATTACTTTTTTTTTTTATCAAATTCATCTTTGCGCAAGTACCAGTTCTGCCCATTAGTCTCTGTGTCACACAGCACCTGCTAGCAGAACATCTTTCTTATTGCGGATTTCATAGCAATTTAGTTAGTCATGCAGGGCTGGGTGCCAGTATTGCTGGGTAAGATGGGGAGCAGGACTGCAGTGAGGTAGACTGAGTGGCGGATAATGCTGCGCAATGTAATGGTTATGACAATATAACCGCACATGTTATCCTTGACAGAGGAATGCTAATTAGTGTTTAAGTGTACTTGAATTTTACAATAATGTAAGAGTTTGTTTAAAACAGTAAAGACAAAGCAGATTAACTAATCTGAGTTAATTAGAGTGATCAGCTCAATGTTACTTCAATGTAAAAAAAGTTTTAATTGTATCTTTATGTTTGTATTTGTATCAGTATCAGATTACTTGATAAGTAGACACTTTTTGATTTTTGCTCAAGTATACTTTTAGCTCTGTATTTCCATTTTTAACTGAATAGAGTTTTGACACAGTATCTATATGTTCACTTAAGTATTTTCCTTGGTTGTTGGCAACCAAAGTGATTTTAGTTACCTTTGACCAAATGATGCCCTGTGGTTTAGGGTGCTGACACTCAGTCTTGACGATCCTAGTTGGAGTGATGATATAGTCCACAGTGAGATCATGACTCTCAGTCAGTCCTTCTGGAATGTCCACAACCTGTTGGACATGATAGTTTAGTAATTAATTTAATATCTTTCTCAGTAAGGTCATGGCCATTCCAGTGATTCTGCACACTTTTTAAATTAACTTACACACTCAGATACAAGGCAAACTAATATATATATATTGCAAATGGTCTGTGTGCTTACATAAACAGAAGAATCTGCTGTGATCTGAGTGCTCATTTGCTGAGGCAATCATTTTGCAACCATTTTGCATTATAATTCATAGTACATACAGTATCATCCAACCGTAAACTGTCAGGTAGTGCTGGATTATGTTTTCTACACATCGATGCATGGAGCTTCTGTAAATGGGCTAGGAGTTCTGACCTGACAGTCATGAACCATTGTCACAACCACAGTGGATTCATTCACAGCTCCCATGGAGGCCATCATAGCATATTCCATATCTGCAAATCCCTCTCCTTTCCCAATCCTGTAACCTAAGAGGAAAGAAAATCTTATTATTGATAAGAAGACATATGATCTATAATATTTTTATCACGATTGAGAAACAGGCTTACCTTTCTCAGACACAGCTACAGAACCAACCACTACTAGATCCACTTGAACTCTTGCATCTAAACCAATTGGGACACTGAACTCTTTAACTCCCTGGACAAAACAAACTGTATGAGTGACACACTAATTTATCAGGTATATTGAATTGTGAAAAAGTAATAAAAACAAAAGATATAGTATCATAAAAATATGTGTGTGTATAGTGTGAGTTTAGGTATAACCTGAGAGGTGGAGCACACTCGCAGATCCTCATTGGTTGCATTTTGCGGTGGAACAATTTTGTTAAACAGTCCAGTGCGCAGCCGAGGGGTCGGGACCAGCAACGTTTTTCTAGCCTAAAAAATAGACAGAAGCGCATTAGCTGAAATGAGAATTGCACAATATACAACACAGACAAAATGGCACACATCATATAGTACTCAGTAGAAACAATCTTAATTATAAATGCAAAATACCCTCATTACAATTACACAAAGCTGTCAAAGGTACCTGCAGGGCAGCTAACCGTGCCCCCTCCAGTGGTTTATCCGGATCCACCTTGACTTCACTGGTTTTGCTGAAGACATCTAAGGTTACAATCTTATTGCAGGCCCCATAAGCCCCCTGAAGAGAAAGAAGAAAGTGGTGTGAGAAGGTCACTTACAGTGAGAGTGTGAAAGCGGGCCTGCTCCTGTGGCCTGTCCGGGTTCACTTTGACCACCCTGCTGGACTTGAATTCCTGCAGGACAGGGAGCCTGTTACAGGCCTGTGCAGCTGCCTGTCAGCTCAAAACATACAATACACCACATGACTGAGGAAAACAGTTTGACATCAATCATTCAATCAATTAATCAATCAATCAACCATCACAAAGACCTCTTCAAAGTACAGTTACTTCATAAACAGAATGGCTACCTTGAAGTTTGGAATTCTGTGGTGCACTGGTCGCGGGAAGTTGGCAAGGTTTTTCGCCTCGATGTAATCCCACACTTTTTGGCGAATGTCCCACTTCGTAGCCCCTTTAATCAAATGAGTAAAAACAAGTGGACGCATTTCAGCTGCTGGAGTGAAAACCACACACTCAAGTCCACATACATTCTGATAACAACAAAAACATGGACGGTTACCTTGATTTATGTTAATAGCTTGTTCCATGCTTTAGTGCGCCTAAGTTATCTGTTTTACAACAGGACTACACGATGACGAAAATCAGACATTTTCTTTCTCTACGTTCGTCCATAATCTAAAAACTCACAACAGCAGCTGCTCGCCTGTCAAATTACAATCCAGTTCATTCTACGGGTCCCTACAAAGGTCAAAACTCGTTTCGTTTTTCCCCATCGTAGTGAAAAGGTTCTAACCGCTCTTTCCTTTGTATCTATTCTTCACTGTGTCATTTTCGGAATTATTAAAGAAAAAATGTATTTTCTAAGATAACAGAAAGAAGAAGAGAGAAAATAAGACCGAACTGTGTTTACTTTCTTGTAATGCAAAAAATTTGAATGTGGTGACATTACACGGCATTCTCTACTTATTTCCAGTAGGTGGCGCCAAATACAAAATAATCATCATTTATTTGCATTGCGCTGGTCCATGCTCGGGAAATAATAGACTTTGTCACCATTAGCGATGGGACAGCGTCACGCCATCGTCTACATGTAACGACTGCCTACTGCTCTAGATAAATGCTATATAGTGATGTGATAAAGTAATACATGACATTATATGAATTTACAGTTAGGTTTGCATTAATCAAGTAGTCCAAATTATTGCAATCAATCAATAAACTGGTGAACTGTAATATAAAACAAGAATAGGCAGCACTGAGTCATCTTTATGGGGTCATCATTTTCCAGCATATCCAAATGTAGAAACAAAGTCAAGCCATGTGAAAGAAAACCTCTGATATTTTGGATTATCAACATGATATGATCATGTTAGGACAGGTGCTGTCACTCACCTGTTCGCATCTCATGTTGAAAATAAATAAATGAATAAATAAATAAATATCCAAAGTCAGAGGTTAATCGCAGCACAGATGTGATCACCAGTAAAACATAATGATATTAAAAAGAAAAGGGAATTAGTAAACGTTAATGACTATAATGTTAAGAAGAATATTACATGATACACTTCATAAAGAAGTGCAATTATCATTTGCTACCTATGTTTGTATATGTGACGGCCTGTTCTTATGACTTTCTTTATTCCCCTTACAGCAAAGTCACTTATATTTCACTTATGAAGTGTGTAAAAATGCATGTTTACAAGTAATCACTCTTTTTCCACACGTGATAACATTTTAACATATAAAATGTGTGCAAAAACAGTCATATTTCACATGTGAATTTTGTGACTTTTTTGAATTTAGTTTTTTTTTTGTCAGTGCACACAGATCACACTCAAATCAATATGAAAATTCTCCCACTGACACTGACATCCTTTCAGCTTTGAAAAACATCTATGAAATTTAATCAGAAGTTATGTTTTTCACTGTTCTAATTTGGCTAAGTAGCTAAGCAGGTACTGCAGTAACTAACATCTTTAGTGGATGTTCTTCAGCAAAAGAATAGGAACCATATGGAACATAATTCAATTACGAGTCGGTGAATCTTTGCAGCAAGTGATGGTAAAACGAGTTGTTTTCCCCAGAAACATAATCTGGTATAGATTTTCTTAAAAGCTATCCTTAAATCAGTTCGACCTTATCAAATATCAAAAAACAGTTTAGAATGAGGAATCCTTTTCCGAGAGTCCATACAACTGTGTGCCTCAGTAAACCCAACCAAATTACATGCTGGCATGCGATCAGTTTAGCTTTTTTGGTGTTTCCATGTGTGCATTTACAGTCATTTCTCTGTATTGAGCCCATTAGAGGATCTTGAGTCCATTAGAGAACATTTTGCCACTAAGCCACTCTCCTAGTCGTCCTGTGACAGATGATAAGTTTATGCACTAATACTAGCACTATTTTCTTGACATTATATACACACTTGCAATATTATCTACATATGAAATACATATATTTCTTTTTAATGGGCACAATGTATCCTGGCCAGACTCTTCACACATTTAAGGGGCCCATATCATGGAAAAAACAAGTTGTCCTTGCTTTTTTTATAAATAAAAGAACTTGATGCACTATGTAAACATTGCTAAAGTTTCAAAATATACTTATCCCTTTCCAGTCCATACAGTCTATGTTTGGGCACTAAGCTGCAAAAATAGCCTGTTTTAAATGTGTTTTTGTGATGTCTCATAACACAATGCATTTACATATATATCCACCTATTTAGCCAACAGCAACTTAGCCCCACTCAAGTTAAAAGGAATGTTTCAGCCCCAAGGCCTTTTTTTAATGATGCGCAATGTAGAGCAGCCAATCAGAACATAGGTAATTTGCCTATATAAGTCTTTTGTGCTTGTTTTGATTCTAAGGGAAGAAGTAGGAAAGTTTGGAAAAAAGATCATGGAAAAATTAATTATGATTGGTTTTGGTACATAAAACCCACACTAATGTGATGAGTGGGCTTCAGGGAAAAATATAAAATTTTGGAAAAATGTAGGATACAGCCTCTACAAAAACAGACACAAAAACGAGTAGAATTTATCTCTTGACAGTAAAACACCAAAATCCTTTCAAAATCTTTTATTTCGACTGTATTTAAATAAATAAAAGACAGGTGTAAGGGCACTCTGGGTGAGAGAAGTAAAAGTTTGTGTGAATAAGAGTTATGCGGCTCATAAGGCAGTTTGTCAGAGAGGTGCAGACACCAGGCCTGCTGGACCCTGGCCCAGAGTCTGCCTTGCCACGCTGCTCTCCAAGGGCTTGAAGCCCAGCTCCTCCACAGGAATGCCAAAGGCTTTCAGCTTCGCCTCATACGTCCTCAACAAGTCATTGTGAGCCTATGGGAGAAATGAGACTATTAGGGTAATGATCTTCAACCTCTTGAAGACCCCTAGCCTATGCAGCTTTATAACTAGGGCAGGCCCTACACTGACAATATTTACTTGACTAATGTAAATAAGATTACATAGATTTTAAACAAATTCTAAAATAGATGTGATGTTTAAAAAAATTACCCCCCCCAAAAAAATATGTAAAAAACAAGGTTGCTGTTGGACCCACCTTGCAGACACGAGCGAGTTCATACTGTAGATCCTTGATAGCAATGTTCTTAGAATCCAGCACTTCCTATAAGCAAAAGCCAAAGACAATTATTCAGAAACAAAACACAGAAAAATCCATTTTTACCCCTGAAACCTAAACATATAAAGAATGAGACTGTTTTTGTTATTTGCTACACAAATAAAAGTGTAAAAAGAGCTAAACCTTCTTCTGAGAGCACCATATTGGCTGACCAATCAAGTTCATTTTCATGCACAGGAGATATGTTTTGGTAAAGAACTATACCTCAAGCTTACGAGTGACCACGTTGAGGGCAGTGTGGTCTAAATTTGAGGCAGAAAGAACCTCATTGAGCTGGGCCTCTTTCTTCTCTAGAGTGTCTGTAAGTGCATCTAGCTTCCTCTCCAGAAGCAGGTTCTTAAAGCCACTCTTCTGATGCACCTCCTGGATGGCCTTGGTGAACTTCTGGTACAGTTCATCACGCTCCAGCTGTACCTAAGGACCGAGAAATGAAACAGAGCAATTTGAGCAAATTGTCTAATAGGTTATGCCTTGCAGACTTTGACTCACGTTTTGTAAACTAAAATAAAACTAAATACCACATTCAAGCAAAGTCTAGTCAGAATATTATTTCTTTAAGTTTCTAAAGCTGCAAGAATGAACACTGGACAACAACAACATCTTACACTCTTTTATATATATTCAAGTGAAGAATATGTCTAATAGTGTTCATACATACATATCAATATTTCCTCTCACCTTACTGAACCTCTGCTCCAATACTTCATGCTCCCATTTCAGGTCCCTCATTTCTTTGTCTGCCACCTTGAGTCGAGCTTTGGCTCCCTAAAAGAATGAAATGAGTCCATTAAGAAGTCACTCTCAGTAAATTTGCAGTACTTTAGTACCTGTAAGACAGGCTTAAGTGCAAAATTGGCATGCAATTATGCACCAAAAGAATAATATTGAATGAACGCATAGCACTTCAATTTTCAGTAGCTTCTACATTGCAAGTGCTACGGAGCTCATAAGAGACTTTGAATTAATGTGTATACCGCCAGTGAAGCCTTGTCTTTATTATAATTGGCAAGCTGTTTCTGGAGCTCGGCAACTTCCTCAGTGGCCTTCTGCAGAGGCTCAGTCAGACGCTTGTTCTGCTGCTGCACCTCTGCCATCTCCTTCTCCAATCTCTCCTCCTTTCTCTTCATTTCATCCACCTGCTCCTGCATGTAGACAGAGGGAAGGCGAGTGAAGCGCAGTTATGACATGCAAAGATCAGGAAGCTACAGAGAAAAGGTAAGTATACATGAGATCACAGTAATGCAATGGGTGGAGGCTCATCTATAAAAAATACAAAATGTGAAGCTCACATGTTAGACATGTAGCATTTGATCTCTGATCCTTCTATTTAAAGTTTAAAAAGATAATCAGAATTTGATACAATAATTATAATAATTATTATAATTTTCAGTGTCATCGTACCTTAAATGAGTTGATGAGGGCTAGGTTGTTGAGAGTGATATCATTATAATAGTTCTTAATATCACTGAAAGCTTTCTCATGGTTTTTCATCAGTGTGTTAATCTGGCTGTTCTTCCTTTCCTCTATATCAGAGATTTCAGTCTTGCGTCTCTGATCTTGCTCCTGACGCAGTGCCTGCATTTTCTTCTCATATTTAGCCTCTATTTCTACAGAGAAAACAGCATACGTACTGTTAAAGAGCTGCTTAAACACAGTAAAAGGGTAAAATATAGTAAATTATAATGTCATGGCGAAAAATCTTTTACACATAATTTACATGCGATGGCCCGTCAAAGAGACAGCTACTGTCAACACTGTACCTCGTACTTGTCTCTCAAAATCATTTCTCAGCTTGGTAATTTCTTCATCATGTTTCTGTTGGAAGAAAGCATGCTCATTATCACAACATCAACAGAAAAATGTTCATAGTATGTTGGCTTAAAAAAAAGGAAAAAGAAGCAGCTTGCACTCACCAGTTTGAGGCTCTTTATAAGATTCTCATTGGAAAGCTCCTGTTCTCTGAGGTCCACTTTCAGGGTGCGCATGCCTTTCCGCAGTTCATTCTCCAGGTCCCCGTGTTCTTTTTGCATGAGTTTGGTGGCAACTACTCCCTCTGTCTTGAGTTCTGCAATGCTGTTTTGTTGTTCATACAGCAAGTGTTTTACCTTCTGTTTGTACACCTGAAAATCAATATACCAATAGATACCAACAAGTTAAGAGGTCTTTCCTATTAGATTGCACACTGCATAGAAACCCAAAATCACCACAATATCTTTACGCCTTACAAATCAATGCTCATCATCGTTCTTGATACCTTGATCTCAACTTGATGGCGCTCTTCAGCTTCTTCCATTTCTCTATCCCTGTTCCTGAGATCAGCCTTCTTTTCCTCTAGCTGTCGTTTAGTGATCTCCCAGAAGGTATGGATTTTATCCCTTTCGAGTTGGAAATAGTTACGCTCTTCTCTCTCTCTGTCCAGCTCCTCACGCAAGCGGACAATGTGGTCTTCCAGCTAATAAAGAATCACAATTTAAGTAATGTATTAGTTATGGCGCAGAAATGAAGTGTAATTAAGGAAATTAATTGCAAAATTTACTTTAGATGACCACTGGCTTATATTATTATTATTATTATTATGTCCAAGATTATTGCCCTTTCCTCATGAAGAATTTCCATGTCTTTTGAATAAGGTCATTAACTGTACCATGGCACAAGAAAACATGAAATGTGACACATTTTTTTCTGAAGTGGACTTAGAAGCTTGGCATATCGAGTGAACCTTGACAACAGAACAGCCAAAAAAAATCGAAATCTTCACAGTTTTCCAGGTGTAGAAATGAGGTATTCTAAATTGATCAAAACGCAATGATTAGCATTACTGGATGAATTCATTTCTTGTTTTAACAGCTGGATACTAGTCCTTAGACATAAAGACCACTTTGGATACTTTAACGTGAGATCCGTTAACGTTAACTTTACCTGCTCCTTCGACATGTCCTCTGTGGAAAGGCCATCCACCACCGTAGGGCTCTTGCCCTTCGCAGCCTTCGCGCCTTTCTTTTTTGGAGGCTGAAATATGAATATTTGTAAGCTAAATGTTACAATTGCACAGTCACGCATTTAACAGTAAAGTAGGCGTTACGAATGTAGTGTTAGTAGGGCTATATATTTGGTTAACGTTAGCTAAGCAGGCTTGACTATCTCACACTACCTGCTGTAGGGTTACAACCATTAGCTAGTCAGCTAACTAACGCTGGCTATCATAAAGAGAAATATCTAGCAATATTATACCTGCGTAGTCCATTCATACTTACCATGATTTTATTTATCTAGTAAAATGTCGTCCCGGTGCATGAAGAAAATGTGTAACCACGTAGGTTAGCTTTGGTGAAAAGTTTGTCAGCGATTTCACTGCTTCGCTGTTCTGGTGGTCTGTACACAACGCGACGGCGTCATGGCAACAAAGGCTCCAATCTCGCGATACGAGAATTGGGTGCGTGGGGGTGGGGTTCGAGTACTATATGAGAATGTGTGCCTAATCGATGCATCGTAAATGTTGAATGGTCGATATAATGTCTGTTTGGGTGCATTAAAGTATGAATAGAAAGGAAGCGATAATTCGTAGTTGACTAGAAACCGGTTTTGGATGAGGTAGATTTTAAAAGTCTTCCATTCTAACAGGTAAACAGGTTTGTCCACTAGAGGGCAGTCACAGTCTGTGCTTAGATTTTGTCCCAATGCCTTGGACTCGGCCACAGCTTAATTAATTATAAATCGATATCAAGGTCCTTCCACTGTCCTTTCGCGCATTTTACTGTTTTCTCTATAAAACCAACGATAGACAGACTGCCGTTTCCCTTGTAGTTAACGACACACTGGTAAAACGAATGCTGTTCACTATTGACCAAGGGTATTAAGTGGTATAAAGGTATTAATGACAGGAGTGGGCAGAGTAGCCTAAATCCATTCTCAGGTTAAATAATCTTACTTTTGTCAAATAATGACTTATTGATGGCCTTGTGAACTGATTACTGAATCCCCTGTAGAACTGCAGTGGAACTTCTTAGTATAGGATTGATCAGCATAAACAGGGGTTTGTTTGGGTCTATTTTTCTCTTTTTAATGCGTTGTAGGTCTCAAAATCTCAAATCAGAAGTGTGAACAATCACCAAGTACAGACACTTGAGTAGAAAGTGCACTCCTTTATTCACAGGTGTAACTAAGCAGAAGTAAAGATACTGACAACTGTAAAAACTGGAGAGAGTATAAATTCATTACAGTACTTGACTACATAACTGAGTAAATGGAACTAGTCACCAGGAGCTTAGTTTCAACGCACAAGCATGAAACTACTTACCACTGAGAACATTTGGAAATTTTGAGCTTTTTCTACTATTTAACTCTGACTGACAGGTGAATAATTATCATCATAGTAGTAGACAATAAAAGCTGTCACTGAAGCTGAGATGGGCTGCTTTGCAAGCCTGCCTCTGCACAGTGAAGAACAGTCATGAAAAAACAGTGTAATTGGTTATAGGATGTAGATACACAATTAAAGGGCAATTCTGCCATTTTTCAAATTGCCTGCATATTTCAATCATTAATGTGTGAACAAAGCAATTCAGAGGGATTTGTTGTGAAACATGCCATTCTAGCAAAATCTAAAAGTGTTCATAAAGGAGGTGATAGGAACAGATATCTGAAGTGTTTAATACCTCTAAATGCTACCTCACATAAACTTATGCACAAAATGGTTAAGGATATGTTGCCTAATACTGCTGATTTTCATAGATCCAGTCATGGTGGAAAGCTACATGCACTGTATTGTATGAAAACTATTTTACCATTATTAACATTACATATAAAAACTCAGAAGACACACAGGCTTACAAGCCATATTTGTGTTGTAGACACTGTGATCCCTGGTTCCTATCACCAACATTGTTAAGAAATCATTACGTCAGTAAGTTTCTCTACAGTGCACCATTTCACATCAAAATAATGTGAAAACATTGTTTACATCTCATCAACTGATACATGCAGAAATCTTAGAAAAATCAGTGGAATTCCTCTTCAGCATGTGTATAAATGTCTATTCAGAAGGCATTGACCAAAGCAAGCTGGGTATACTATAATGTAGTACCCCATCTATGTGTGGAGTTGGTGGTGAGAGTTTACTTTTTCCTAGACAACGTTTTTTCTTGCACGGCAGAACATTACAATCCTAATGGACATTTTAGGTACAGATGCTGAGGAGCAGACTTGTTGGTTCTGAGATTTCCATGTCATCCTGAAGATAGTTTCATGTCAACTGCTCTGTTGTTTTTTTTTTTCTCAGTGGTTTTTACATTAGACTGTGGTCACTCACGCACACCCCTCTAGCCCTACAGTACAGCGAACTGTACCGTATTTAACAACTCCCTCTTTCCCTCCCCTCCTCAGTCTGGGCATTCAGCCAGTGTGTCCTGTATGCTCTTTGTGTGTGTGTGTTTCTCTTTCTCTCCCTTTCTCTCTAGATCTGTCTGTATTCTGCATTAGCCAACATCATTCACAATGCACTGCTTACGGAGCAAAGTGGCTCAGTGATTTGCAGAGTTTATCCGGCTCTACCCCCTCATTCGCCCACTTTCTCTCTCTCTCTCTCTCTCTCTCTCTCTCTCTCTCTCTCTCTCTCTATCTCTCTCTCTCTCTCTCTCTCTCTCTCTCTCTCTCTCTCTCCCTTTCTGGCAGGGAGCAGGCTCCACTCACTGAAGGGCTGGGAGTGTTGAGGATAGGAGGATCAGTAGGCATAAAGGGGGGAGAAAAGCTGAAGAGAGGAGCCTCACTGATGCTTTGGTGGGAGTTGGCGCTCGTACTTACAGTCTCTCTCTCTTTGTTTCTTTCTCTCTGTGTGTATTCTGAGTGCTCCACACCCATGTTGCTGCTGTAGACAGCAGCTTCAGACTCTTGGCTTACTGGATGGAGGCACAGGGAGGGGCAGGTAGCCCAGGTAAAGACTCCTTTTCTGTTTTCCCGTCTCAACTCTTTCTATCTGCTGCTTCTTTGATGAACTTACTGTATGTGTGTAAAAATTCAGTTGGAATTTTGATTGCTATGGATCAGAATACTGTTTGCTATATTTTTTCACTGAAAGTCACATGTAGTTGATTGGCAAAGTATGACGGAAGGTAAACTGTGCCAGAAAACAGATGTCCACAATGTTACGTCAGTATTGTAGTGTATGGCGCTTGTGTGGGACAGTTTGTGCTTATTATATTGTTGCAGTCTTTTGTTTATACCAGCTGTGAAATTATAAGGCATTAAAGCCTGCGGCTGTTGTGTCGAGATGTCATAAATTCTTTTTTTTTTTTGCCTTTTTGTTTTGATCCAAAAATTGGAATAAAATGTTGTTATATTAAATACAATAATGGGCCTATATTCTAGATTTTACTTGTACGTTATTTTTTCCTTATGATGTTTGTGTGGTGTTATGCATCAAAAACAGTCATAAATCATTTTACATGACTACTTTCCAACCTCTTTTTCCCTTAGAATCATATAGGCTGTCTTTGATACTATATACACACACAAATGATCTCTGTGCTAATAGGCTGTCCTGTATTGTTAAAAAGCAAAGTTCTCTCAAACACTCCTTGTAAGTTACTGCTGTAGGCTGAAGCACACACACACACACACACACACATCATCGAAACCGCTTATCCTTCTGGGTCGCGGTGGGGTGCTGGAGCCTATCCCAGCTGTCATTGGGTGGAAGGCAGGGTACACCCTGGGCAGGTCGCCAGTCCATTGCAGGGCAGACAAACAGACATACACATTCACACACACACTCACTCACACCTAGGGGCAATTTAGCATGTTCAGTTGGCCTGACTGTATGTTTTTGGACTGTGGGAGGAAACCAGAGTACCCGGAGGAAACCCACACAGACACGGGGAGAACAGGCAAACTCCACACAGAAATGACCCTGGTTGCCCGGCCGGGAATCGAACCCAGGCCATTCTTGCTGTGAGGCGACAGCAAGCTGAAGCAGATATATTTAAATATGTTGGTTTTCTTGACATTACAGAAACAATACATTCAAAACAGGCTGGTTTTGCAGCTTAGTTTCCATTTATAGACTGTATGGACTAGAGAGTGAATGCTATGTCTTGAAACTTTAGCAATGTTTACTGTTTTAGCAATGTTTACTGTTTTATTCCGAAAAAAAAAAGAGGAAAATTTAGTTTTCCGCACTGTGGGCCCTTTAACAGTCAATATTATTTGTAACTTGTTGTGTAAAGTGACCATTCTGGAGATATAAGGTTTTATTATCATAGTGATATTTTAAAAAATCATAAGCAGTCATATAAGCAAGCTACTTATATCCCATTAATTGGAAATGTTTTCTGAACCACCTTAAGAATGGCTTTTGGAAGGTTTAGGATATGAGCAATAGTCACCAAAACCCTGGCTTGCTTTAATTATCCAGCATGTACCTGAGGGAGTTTCTCATCCTCGAAAGATTATCACCTTGTATATGAACAGTAATATAAAACTCTGAAAGTAGTTCCACTGTACACAGCAGAAATGTTAAGCTTGGGTGAAGTTGTTTTGGATGCAGTTACAGAGTTGACTGTGGCCACCAGGAGGGCTGATTCAGTGTCAGTCATGCGTGAACAGGGCAGGTCATGCCACTGTTTGCTTCTGGTTAAAAAAGAATTGTGTCTCAGCCTATTTTACTGTAGCTACAGTTACACTATGCACTGTGATCTCTCTAGTATAATGGAGCTCACAGCAGAGTGAGGAGCTGATCCAGTCTGCCTGTGATATTCTACACAGAGACAGGTAGACAGGCTCATAGGGAGGCAGGTGATGTCAAAGATTTCATCATATTCAGCTCTGTTTTTCCTAGCTCCTGTTAGTACAGTTAAAGAATGGGTTCTTTTTTTGGGGTTGTTCAAGTGGCCATAAACACTGTTCAGCCACTTACACTCCTAAAAAAGGTGCCAAAAAGTGTTCTTTGGAAGGATGCCTAAGTAGAAAACCTTTCAATGGGTGTTTTTTTAAAGAATCATTTAATCAGTCAGTGAAGTGTGTGAGTTTGAACAATCTTGTAAAGCTGTAAAGAACCTCTAATACATGTAAAGTTTCTAAGAAGAACCTTTATACATTTAAAAGGGTCTTTACATGCACACATATTTTTTTAAACATACAGTGGTGTCCGAAAGTCTAAGACCGCTAGTGAAAATGCTTCTATTTTGCAATCTTTTCTGATGTAATATAGTTTTTTATTACAAATTATACTATGAGCATAACAATTGAAGCAAAAAGTAGAATCTCTGAGATACTGAGAAAGAATTTGGGATGCCCCTCTTTAGCTTTAATGACAGCATGACAGTTGAACAATGGCCACAAGCTGATTAACATATAGAAGCCTCTGACAGTAGATCAAATGCACCTGTGAGGGATCTGAGCGCATGCTTCAATGGAATGGATAAGACTAAAAAACTGACCTTTTTGTACAAAGGTCTTTGCATAGTCACACATTCTTTAATTTGAACAAGGGCATAAAAAGTACAGTGTCCTTAATATTTTCTCTTCATTTTCCTTGTGATTTTAGATTTCTTTATTTTATTTTTTCATATTTCTAAAATATTCTGTTGTTTATTTCCAGACTTTAATGACAAAATCACAGATTTTCCATGCTGTCTCAGACTTTTGAACCTGTATAGGTAACTTAAAGTCATCACGGTTGGAACAAAATCTTGTATCCCTTTTTTTCATTTTGTTACATAATGTGAAAATGTTGTCTGATAGATAGTAGACCAATATAAAGGCTCCAACATCACTTAGATCCTAACTCTTGTTATATTTGCTTAATTAAAAATGACCTTTTCCTGTGAATTTACCATTAAGAAGATATAAGGTTTTGTTTTTGCATCAAATAACCTTATTTAAAATACTCTCATCTATCATCTAAACCACTTATCATTCTGGGGGCTCTGAGGACCACTGCCCTAAAGAACCTTTTGGTGAATGGTTATTTAAGGAACCATTTTGTAATGTGAGGACCCTTTTTAAAGGTTAAAGCATCCACACGCAATGAATACTTTCCACATAATGTAATATTAAGTTTTCCCTAGAACTGTAAGTCCAAGCCAAGAACTATTTAAGAACCTTTAAGAGTGTATTATCAAAACAGATAGAGGGAGAGAGGGAGTAAAAGTACTACATTTTTATACTAATTAAAAGTTAAAATGCGTTATCTGTTTGCTGATCAGTCAGGTCATCACCATTATTGACTTTGGGGAATGCTTTAGGATGAGATTAGACATCTCACATTCTCTTGGGAGACTGCAGATTGTAATCGAAAGTTAAATTAGGATGTGGTGATGACAGCCCTAAGCGTACGGAATATTAATAATTATGATGACCCCTGACTGTCACAGGACAAGGTTAGCAGAAAAGCGGTGGAGTAAAAAAAAAAATACTCATTCAAATATTCACTACTTATGAGATTGTATGATCTAGGAAATATGATGAACAGAATGGCAGCAAAATGTGACTTTCGGGTGAAAAATGAAAAAAACGAAGCATAGATTATACTCTATAAGGAAGAGCCACATCCACACCATGCCCTATACAAGAGGCTGATCATGACAATTATTTTCAAGCACTCCTAAAAATAATAATTTCAACTTTGTCATCCACATTATAACAATTTTCATCCCATGTGAATAACAGTGGTGAAATATTTGCGTCATTGTGACAGTACTCTTGAAAGCTATTGGCATAGAGTGTCAAGTAGGGAAAGATGCCAAGCTGTCACTTCATCAGAAGACCAAACCGAGGCACTAATCTCTCAATCTGTTTTGATTTAAGCATGTAACAGATCGATAGGCTGTGAAGGGTCACATATCCAGTCTGAAATCGGAATCCATCTTGTTTATTCTGCGCTGGCTTTCTCCCCAGCCCTCTGGAGCAGTGCCTTTCTTCTCTGCATGAGAGCCTTGCTGGGGCACTACACACTGTTTCACTCCCGTGTAGAGTTATAATTACTTGGAGCTCCATTTGTGCTTGAGCATGAACTGACCCACATGTAGTCACACTTAACACGACACGCACCTGCAAATGTAAGCTGCAGTACATAAGAGCATCTGCAAAATATGTAAATGTTGACAACAGATGTCGTGTATTATTTAGCCTTATCATAACCATGTAAATGTAATCAGTGAACAATCTTTATGCAATCTTTATAAATCTCTTAATTATACTTATTTAATTCAATGGCATTTTTTGCTGTATTGCATAGGGATGTTAAGCATATGTTAGTGGACGCTCGATCTGATAGAGATGGATAGAAGCTGCCAGTGAAGGTCAGAGTGAATGACGTCTTCCAGAGCAAAGGCAACAGAGAGGGCTCGGTTCAGAGCTCTTTCCCCTACCCCTGTTCTTCACAGTTCAGTGCAGCAGAACTGCTGAGGTGGAGATGTGACCATGAGACGGTGGATAGGGGAGAGAGAGACAGTGAAAGAGAGAATAGAGTTTGGTTACATATATAAAAAGCCTCTGATTTCAGGCAAAGCTATTGTGTAAATGTGGTGTAAGTGTGAGTAAGTGTTATAAAGGATTAGCTTGGCTGCAAAATCTGGATTTAAATGTCCAAGCTACCTGTCCAATCAGGAGAAACATTTAAAGACCCACTGAACCTAAATCCTTGTTTTCTTAATTAGGTTAATCCTGTTTTTTAGGGCAAACAGTAAGCATTTACTAAGATACCCTTAGAATAATGTTCCAGTGACCAGTGAATGACCAATATAATTTACCATATTTCTCTCCTCTCAGTGTAAACTGGGCAGTCTTAATCTTGGGAAAATTCTTCCGTAAGCATTCCCTTCACCAATCAAAAGGCTGACATCTCTTGCCCCGCCCACACAAAATAGTTTCAGTCAGAGAGATAGTGAGCTAAAGCTAGCCCAGAATAACCAAAAGCTAGCAAGCTAGCCCACTTGTCTGTAGCTGCCTCCCACCTGTTCATTTTTTTATCTATACACGAATTATGTTTGTTTGTCCATTCCTTCTTTCATGTGTTGCTTCGTCCATTTGTTTGTTCATCCAACCACCTGTCCATCTGTACATCTGTTTGTCAGTGACTTTTGTTGTCCAGTAACTGTCATATATTTTTCAGAAAAAAATATTTTAGTTCTGTATGAGTGGCAAAGCAGGCTAGGCTAGGCTAGCTATGCACGAACAGTTTTCAAAGAGGTCTAAATAGCAGTTTTTAAGCTGTGTTTAGTTATATTTATATCATATTCTCATTTAAGCTTGCTGGATGTTTAATATATAACTCAGGTTTATTATCACATAAACATTTGTAATATTTTCTCTATGTTCCCTGGGACTTTAATTTATATTATAGTTGCTTTTAACTAAGAAATATTGCAGCTATAAAAACAAGACAGTGTGAGACAATGATCCAGAGCACTAAAAAAAGCTGCAAACTCAGTTATCTAATATCTCCTGTAAGACTGAGAACTGTTTAAAGTTTCAATATCAATACCGGTAGATATTTCAGTACTGATTCCTATACAATACTTTTTTTGTTACTTCACAGACCAGAAGCAGGTCAAGTCAAGTCAAGTCAAATTTATTTGTATAGCACTTTTTACAACTGATGTTGTCACAAAGCAGCTTCACAGAAATCCATTAAGGACAAAGTTTTAACATAAAATGTAAATCCTCCAGGTGAGCAAGCCAGTGGCGACAGTGGCAAGGAAAAACTCCCTCAGAGCTGGGGAAGAAACCTTGGGTCGAACCAAGGCTCACAAGGGGGGGCCCATCCTCCTCTGGTCAAACTACCTACAAAATTATTATACTACTAGTATTAATAGCAGTAGTAGTAATAGTTAAGAGTCCACTTCAGTGTAGGGTGGGCAGCTAGTCCAAGGCAGGTGGCGGTAGCTGGGCAAGTGGCAGTGACTGGGGCGTGGGCAACTGGTCTGAAGTGGGTAGCAGGAGAGCTCGACAGACAATCATCCATCAGTGTCCGGCCGGACAGGTGGGCAGTCGTTTACTCAGAAAAAAGGTAGGGAGATGGAGTTAGTTTAGCAGGTGTGGCCGTAATACTAAAGTAATTTGGTCATTACAATAAAGATATTTAATTTTGATGCCCAGTCTAAGTCTCCTGTCCAAACTATATATATTTTTAAATATACAGAAAATCTAAAGCTTTCTGTTGTCTTATTTGTTTGATTGTTTGTTTTTCCAAATAGGTTATGTGTCAACCTTTATGTCTCAACACTCTTAAATGTGTCAAAAAATATATTGAAATAGAAGAACTACCCTTGGTTCTAGAAAAGAAACTGGGTGATTTTGTAAAGAACTGATTTGTAAATGAGGTGTGAGAGTGTGAAGAACCTTTTTTAGTTAAAGTGTCCTTCACATGATATAAAGGTTCTATTCCAAGTTTTCCTAGAATAGAGATTGATTGTCATTCCAGTCATTCCAAAATTTGTTGACATCACTTCTCTAGCTAAAGGGTCACTGTCCCGAGTGCCAGTAGAATTGCATTGCATTTTACCATCCATACTCTTTTTAGTTCCTTAGTCAACCCTTGCCCATTCTCCAGCTTCTTGTGTTACTTCTTGATGTTGCCAACACTTGGGAGTGCCACATCTATCACTTCTCTTTCCCCATAGTCCACAAGTGGTATGAAAAAGTGTTCTTCACCTAACTGGGATGTCAGATTGTGTCAGATGGAGAAACAGGGTATCATGGAGATATGTGATGCAATAAATCAGGGATTATTAACAAACATTCTGTTTTGGCTTCTGAAGCAGTGCTGAAAATTGCACTGATTTCTGTCATCCTAAAAGGATATTAAATGAAAAGAGGATAACCACAGAAAGAGGATAGACAACAGATCAAAATTCACATCACCCTCCAGCAAAGAATCTGGCACAAGTAGTTCCTCTTACAATGAAACATAAGGATCATTGATACTGGCTTACTTCAAAACTCTGAACAGAGAGGCATAAATGGTGGCACTGAGACATACTGTATGCATGTATGTACTTATGTATGTATATAAGTATGTATGTATGTATTTTGTGCGTATTTTAGGTCTCAAACCAACCAGTAAAGCAATTATTTACATTTACATTATCTTTAGTGCACACAAGCACTTCAATTCCCCCATTATATCAATGCTTTATACTATATATTACTATATATTTAATCATATGCAAAAGATTGCATATTGCAATCAAATTATTAATTGTTAATGGTGTGAAAATAAGTTAACACATCGTCTACAGGGAACACACTTCTGCACATGTTAATCCATTTTTACTTGCTGAATTTAACATGTCAGAAAATAAAGCATAAATGGTTATAATGGTACATTTTATATTTTCAGTTTTATTTATTCAAACTCAACTATATATGTTTACTATGCAAAAAAATGCAGAAAAGTTTGTTCCCTGAGGATGTGACTTATTTTCACTTATGAAACATGTAATATGACCAGGAGTGTGAAAACTTTTGCATGACTGTAATTGTACAAATCCATATAATAATTGTGATGCCTCTCAGTTGTGACACACTGTGTATATGGTGTTGAAAGGATTCTCTGATGATTGGTGTAATTCTTTTACAGATCCCAACAAAGACATCCAGAGACTACTGAAGCCCTCCAGCTCAGGAGAACTATCTAAAGAGCCTTCCCATCATCCCCCAGGCGAGGAGGAGGGAGTTATCCTGGGACACACCTCAGGGCTGCTGCATGTCTCTGAGAGAAGACGTGAGTGCAGGGGTAAAGCGGGTGTGGGAAGATGGGTCCTGTCATGCTGACTCAGTGTATATTTCCACTCAAGTGGACACACAAGCCAAGCGAGCGACTCAGCAAAAGCTGGTTAGGATAGAAACTGTAGTAGGGTTGCTGAGCAGCAGTGAGTGACTATAAGACTACTTTAGGATTTAAACCGAGCATCATAAATGCCTTTATGATCGTGCATCAGGAGACTTTCTGATTAAAGATTAATCACAGCCTTGGACTAAACTGCACTATTTATACTCCACTGAAAATTGGCTTAAAGGAATGGTTCTGCGAAATATCTAATTTACATAACTTTCCTCCATACCCCAAGGTCAGTCAGCCATAGTTGACTATCCAAAAAAATCAATCTCTTTTTTGTACTGGAGTTACAAAGCTAAGTAAAGTAGCTTATACTTGGACATCGACTGGGATTGGCCAAAATCAAATTTTTGGTTATCAGTATTGGCCGAGCGCTTTCGCCTCACAGCAAGAAGGTCCTGGGTTTGATTCCCGGCCAGGCGACCAGGGTCCTTTCAGTGTGGAGTTTGCATGTTCTCCCCATGTCTGCGTGGGTTTCCTCCGGGTGCTCCGGTTTCCTCCCACAGTCCAAAGACATGCAGTCAGGCCAGTTGTGCACGCTAATTGCCCCTAGGTGCAAATGTGTGTGTAAATTTATATGTTTGTCTGTCTGCCCTGTGATGGACTGGCGACCTGTCCAGGGTGTTTCCTGCCTTCCGCCCATTGACCGCTGGGATGGGCTCCAGCTCCCTCCGCAGCCCAGAAGGATAAGCGGCTTAGAAAATATGTGTGTGTGTTGTTGGCCCAGAAATGTCTTATTAGCACTTCCTTAATTCAATGGCATTTTTGCTGTATTGTATAGGAATTGAGTATGTTGTTCCACAGAGATGTTAAATGCATGCTAGTGGACTCTCCCTATGACAGAGAAGCAATGCTTGCGAAATCATCACCCTTGCCTCAAACTGTGTCAAGTCGATAATAATAACAGACTTGCTTGTATGGTTTCTGACAGTGTATGACATACTGTTATCTATGAAAATGGACAAAAGTACGGAAATTCAGGCTTAAATGGGGAATTCCACTGATTTTTCAAAATTTCTGCTTAATTCAGTCGTTCAGATTTTTTCCATGGAAAGTCAAGGAGGTTTTTTAGTGTGAAATGGTGCATTGTAAAGAACTCACTTACTCAAGATTTCGTTACAATGGTGGTAATAGGAACCAGGGATCACAATTTCTACAGCACAAATATTTAATATTTATGTAATTTACTATCCAAAATGATCAGTGAAGCTCTACATGTGTCTTGAGTTTCTATATTAAATGTTGATAATGGTAAAATAGTGGTTTTCTGTGAGTGCTATTCATCCTCACAGTGCCCTGCATGTACCTCTCCACCCTGCATGTATTAAAAAAATGTATTTTAAAACACCTTATTCCACACTTATCATAAAACAATGTCTAAGGCATCAGGCAATATAATTTTTCATTTCACATTAAATCACTCTGAATTACTTTGTTTACATCTGAACAATTTAATAATACACAAATGTTCTAAAATCAGTGTAAAATAACTGTTATTAATGTTTTTTTTTCTGTTTTTGGCTCCAGTAATACATTCTTGTTTAATTTTATAGATGACAGTACTTCATACAGTGTTTCCATTACATTCACTACTTGTTGCCTACGTTATCTTTGTAGCACTAGTGCAAAACTAAACAAGCAAGCATATTTTGGCTGATTGTCTGCATTTGTGATATTGAAAAAAACTGTGTACATTTTGAAAGTTCTGGACAAATGAGCTGAACAGAAAGGAAACAGAACACTTCTTTAGATAAACTTGGGTCTAAATGAAGAAACCAAATAAATTTCTATTTTGATGTTTGTTTTAGTGCTTCAAAATCAAATGATTACGTAAGCAAGAGATACAGTCATGTGAAGAAATAAGTAAACCCCAAGAAAAGTTCTGACTTTTTTAACATATTAGCAGATACAGATATTAAGTGTATATTTTAACTGTGTTGATAGATAAAGGTGTCATAATTTAACATGTAACACTTAGAATTAATCTTTTTGTCATCTTTTATATTATTGAAATAAACTGTAATGTAATTTTCTAATGTGTACAAAGTAAGTACCCCTATATATATATATTACTACTGTCAAATTGAAATATGTGCACCTCAACAAGTGCAAATGATTAAAACACTGTTGGAGAATTGAGGAACCTGTTATTTACCTCTTATCTAAACCTCAGGTATTCTTTGCTATTGAAGTGTGTAACATTATCATGTTTAGATCAAAATAGCTCTCTGAGGCCTTCAGAAAGAAAGTTGTAGATGTTTATAATTCTGGGAAGGGGTTTAAGAAGACATCAAAAATGCTGGATATCAAGCATTCCACTGTCCAGAAGATCATCTACAAGTAGAGAAGTGTCAACTTGTATAGGCCAGGCCAGCCCAGCAAATGTATCCTGACTGTAAGATGCTAAATGAATTCTCTAAGAACACCAAAAATTCATTACAGGATCTGCTGATACCTCTTGCCACTGTTGATGTAAAGTACATGCACCTACCACTTGAAAAAGACGGCTCAAGTCTGACCTACATGAGAGGTATGCCAGGAGGAAGATTTTAGTGTCTAAAAACAATATCAGGGGCAAAACTAAAGTTTGCTATCGAATATCTAGGCTAGGACCAGGACTTCTGGAACATTGTGCTATGGACAGATGAGTCAAAGATGTGTTTAGCCACAGTACCAGAAGCCATGTTTGGCAAAAACCAAAGACAGAACCTCATTCCTGTAAAGCATGGTGGTGAAGATGTTACGGTCTGGGGCTTCTTTGATGCCTCAGGGTCTGGCCAACTTTCATTCATAGAATCAACTATGAGTTCTTTTATACTAGAGAGTGCTTAAGGAGAATGCGAGACCATCTGTTAAAAAGTTGAAGCTGAAGAAATGGATTTTCCAACAGGATAATGATCCCAAACATACAAGTAAATCCACCAAGGAATGGCTCAAAAGGAAGAAATGAAAGATTATGGAATGGCCTAGTCAAAGCCCAGACCTGAATCCCTTTGAAATGCTTTTGGGGGATTTGAAATGGGCTGTACATGCAAGAAACCCCTCAAACATTGTACAGTTGAGAGAATTTTGTATGGAGGAGTGGGCAAAAATTTCTCCCAGTAGATGTCAGAAACAGGTAGACAGTTTCTGCAAATTCAAATTTCCATTATTTTTTGTCTATTACATAACATTTATCTATACATACTGTTTAACTAAAGATCAAGTTCTGATATGTCCACATATGTTAAAAAAAGAGAAAAATGCAGTGGAATGCACTTACTTCTTCACATGACTGTATGTTGTGCCATGAGACCTGCATCCCAGTAAGAAGCTGAAATTACATCAATTTTTCGCAGCTTAACCAGATGTAAGGTCTAATTCTACATGTAGTCAACAAAGTTTCCTTTTAATATTACTACCAAATTTGAATAAACATGTACTGCAACATCAGAGTCCTTGAGTCCAGATGCATGGCTTTGTCAGTTACATCACTGCCTCAGAAAATCCCTTAGGTCTTATGTAAACAAGGTAGGAGAGAACGGGTGGTTAGTAAACCCAAGTGGGATTAATCTGGAAAGGAGCAGGCTCCCCGGCCTCACTCCTCCCTCCTCCACTGGGACAGAGAGACTGCCTCAAGGCATTACACAGTCCAGCCAAATTTGTACTCACTGTCCACTCTGACTAGCCTCCAGTGCCCAGGGCTAAAAGAAGCCATTGTGTACCCACAGAAGAAGCACGCTCTGTCTCTCTGATACAGAGACCAAAGGAGCAGATCTCACAAGGCAGCCTTTATCCTCCAAGTCTCATAACACACACTCAGAGAGGGAAGACCCCAAAGCCTCCACTGTCCTGCCTTACTCTAAACGGATCAGTACCAGCACCTGCCATGCACTGAGATGAGAGAGAGAGACAGACAGCACAAAAGTAAAACAGCACAACACATTTGTCAATGATCGTATTCTCTAAAGCGTCTCTGAAGCGTCTCAGTTTTAACCAAATTTTTACATTATTTTAAAAAACAAACAGATCCTAACCCTTGAAAGTACCACCCCAATGACAGTTCAGTACTGTTTTTTTCTGAGTGTACCTTCATATTTATACAAAGTCTTTGCCACCACTATATGTTAGTCACTGAAGCTCCAGCACGAACTCTAGCTTACATAGTGAGATTGCTATGGTAGATCTCTACTAGCTAAGCCTGTCAACAAATAAAATAATTGGCAATTATAGAACCAGTGTTGAGCCAGTTCAAAGTTGAAATTGCAAAGAGTCAGTCATAGCTGAATAGCGTGAATAGTTAAAAATGCATCAACAAGCACCAGGTCTGCTAGGGAGATTCAATAACAAAGGTGAACCTCCTTCTTTTGTAAGATAGTGACTGACCTGTTTATGACCTCACAGCTCTGCTCTTGTCTGTAGCTGCTGATTCACTGGCCCCCTATTTCCCTTGCCTGATTATTGGCTGTCTGAGCCCCATTGCAGGGTTCTCCACTGTAGTGATGCAGCCACAGCTCCTAATCAGACAACAGAAGTGCAGCCAGACAGACTCAATTATATTGTAGAAGAGAACAACTTTATTTCATTTTCTCCCATCTCATTCTCTCTTCTTTATCTCATCAATGTGAGATACCCAGAAGTGGTGTGTCTTGTGCTTATCTTACCTAATGTATCATCAGTGATGCATTAAGAGGCTTTGGCTTTGTCCCATTTAACTTATAAAAAATCTTTCTCCAGAGTAGCACATTAGGCCCTATAGCTCGGTGGCTAAGCCAGGCATGTTTCAGTCATGTTTCAAATGAAAATAAAAACACAGTCACACAGTCACTCAGTCACGTATCATTAACCAAACGATTGCATCTGAAGTAGTATGTTTTGTTTTCGAGGCAGCAGACGTAATGGGATTC